ATCACCATTTTTAATTAACTTCTTCAATAATTTTATCTTTAACTGTAACATTTCTGTTATTTTCTCATCGCAATATAATTCTGTTATCCATCCTGAATAGGATGTTGGTAATAAAGATTCTACTATCATGCATGTGTCAATTTTGGTTAATTTTCTCATTTTAACTCTGTTTTCAAGCTTATAAACCATTTAGAGTATTTTTCAAACGAAGCATCTTCCAATTTTGATAATAATTTTGGTATGTTTACTTTAATGCTCTCCAAATCTCCATTTGTTCTGAATATATAAGACATGCTAATAGGTATTATACTTTTGAACATATCTAATTCTAACTTGTCTATTTCTTTATCCATTGTTAAAATACCGCTAATCCAATGAGGGTTCTGTTTGTGCTGGTTTAGATTTTCCTGCCGATGTCGCCAATTGTTTTATTAACTGTGTTCGGTAACTTTGCTATAGTACTGGTTAATAAAAGTCTTTATTAGCCTATTTGGAAAATAAAAGGACTATTTTTTTTTTTGTATTTTTATAAAAAAAAAAATAAAGACGGTTAAAAAAAAAAAAATTGATAAAAAAAAAGTCAATTGAAAAAAGATTTGTTAACAATAAATAAAAATAAAAAAAAAAAAAGAAAAAAAGAGATTTTTTTTTTTTTTTGGAATGAAATATGATTTGAATGAATTTTGTAAGAGAAAATTTTATACATATAACAATAAAATTTTCAAGTAAATATTTATATAATTTTTTTTGTATTGTCACTAATTTTTTATGTTTTTTAATTCAACAGCAATATATATTAATTGCTGAACATAACTCATAACAAAAAACAAGTAATATATATTTAATTGATGATCAATATTCAATAAAGATATAAATTTTTAATAAAAATAAAGATTTTTATTAAAGTAAATAAATGCCTATTGAAATTAAAGAATGCCGAATGAATTAGACTACATAATTAAAGATCACTCGTTCAAAGCATATAAAAATATATATAAATATACAAAAATTGTAGAAGCACCTCTACATGCACTTTATTAATTTGTTTGTTCAGTATTCCAGTAAAGTCACCAAACACCCAGTTAATAAAGCATTATTATAGAAAGTTAATAAAAGGTAATATTAATTATTATGAAAATAAAAAGTAGCAGTTATATGGAAAATAAATAGTTATTCATATGGTCTGTAAATAATATTACCGATCTTTTTTGTATAATATTTAGATGAATAAATGGAATAAAAATATTTTATTATGTGCATGCAAAATTTTTAATAAAGTATGCAATCATAGATGTCTACATTAAAATAGTTACTCAAAGATTATATACACACAAAAAAAAAAATAATTTAAAAAAAAAAGGGTAATATTAATAAGAAAAAAATAGTTTTTATTAATTTCTTTCTTTTGGATGATGTGCAAGTTACTGTGGAGTGTATATATATTTTTTTTTTAAGTTAAAATGTAATATTAAGGAAATTACATTTTGAAGAATTGTATAAATTAACTTAAAAAAAAAAATAGTTAAATATTAATTAGTATTTGATGTTGATTAATAAAAATAAATATTTAAAATTAAAATCATAATTCAATTAAAATTGAATCAAGTAAAGTTTCCTCTACATTCTCTATATTAACTTGTTTGATCAATAGTACAGAAGTCATTTAACGAATAATTAATGAATCAGTATACCAGAAAAACGTGAACATTGAAATATGCACAGTAGAGATTGTGAACTTTAAGAAAAATTAGTATACTAAAAATACGTATATTAAAAAAAAGTTTTTATTTTTTTTTGTATGTCCACTAAAAAAAAAAAAGTTATACAAATGTATTTTATGCAAATGATAATTTATTAATTTTTTTTTTATTATTAAGAATATAAATATTATTTTTTTTTGAAGAAGTGTTTTTTTGCTTCTTACATAATGAATATATAGCATGTGGTAAAAATATGTAGTGTTATGTATAACAACAGTTGTACAGTATATATGTTGACTTAATCGCGAAGTAAATAAAAAAGTTGATATTAAATGATAAATTATTAAACGTTATGTAAATATAAAAATTTTAAAATAAAAATTAATTTTTTGTTAAATAATATAATTTATAGGTAATTTATTATTATTTATAATAATTAATATTATGATGAATTTTATAGAAAACCCTTTGTATTTTGTTAATTAACTTGCTTATATTAAACAATATAAAAATCTTTGAATGACCAATTAATACACCAAATATTAAGGAAATAATTTAATAAAGGGTGTGTAGAACAGTTATACTATTTGTTTTTTTAATTATATCAATATTTTCGTTATAAATAAGTAATATTATATAATTAAATTATATAAAATAAAATAAATAGTTATAAGTAACGTACATTTATTATTCTGAACGTATTAATTATTTTATAAGATATATTTATCTAATTTAAGAAAAAATTCTAAATATATACATCTATAAAAAAAAAAAAAAAAAAATGATCAATTTTTTTGTTTATATTTTTATAAAAATAAAAAGNGTACAGTATATATGTTGACTTAATCGCGAAGTAAATAAAAAAGTTGATATTAAATGATAAATTATTAAACGTTATGTAAATATAAAAATTTTAAAATAAAAATTAATTTTTTGTTAAATAATATAATTTATAGGTAATTTATTATTATTTATAATAATTAATATTATGATGAATTTTATAGAAAACCCTTTGTATTTTGTTAATTAACTTGCTTATATTAAACAATATAAAAATCTTTGAATGACCAATTAATACACCAAATATTAAGGAAATAATTTAATAAAGGGTGTGTAGAACAGTTATACTATTTGTTTTTTTAATTATATCAATATTTTCGTTATAAATAAGTAATATTATATAATTAAATTATATAAAATAAAATAAATAGTTATAAGTAACGTACATTTATTATTCTGAACGTATTAATTATTTTATAAGATATATTTATCTAATTTAAGAAAAAATTCTAAATATATACATCTATAAATATATATAAAATAATCTTTGTTAACATAAAATAACAATTCTCCATAAAATAAGTACTTAACAAATGAGAAAAAAATAATTATTCATCAAAAATAGATAATTAAATTTTTTCAAATTAAATTCAATTATCCATAAAAAAAAAATTAGTAAAAAGAAAAAAAAAATTATTAACTACATCAACACTAAAAAAAATAAAACATTATTCAAGGAAAAAAATTAAAAAAAATTTTATGCTATATATATAACTGCGCGATAGTAATTTTTGTTAGATTGATAAGGTATTTTCTTAAATATTTTACATGCATATTGATTATCTGCATTATATTAAAATTAAGATATTTAAAAAGATGAATAGCACATTTATTAACTAAGAATATAATTTTAGAATTTCTTTTTATATGAATTACTATTAGAATTTTATATATTGTATTTCTTTAAGTGAATTGAAAAATTTCTTTTTCTTTTATTATATTAATAAAATAGGAGGAATGTCATTTGATTATATTTAATATTAAGTAAATAATCGTTATAATTAAAATATGCATGTTATATTAGCAGTGACATTTAAATTAACTTTATAACATTTATACATTTTTTTTAACATTTACATAGTTATTTTTAATGAATCATTAATAAATAACTGATAATAATTACTATTAATTTATTTATTTTTATTGAAATGTTATTTTATTTTTTATAACAAAACAGATGCATGTAATCAGTTTAAAATTAAATTATAATTTCTTACTATAATTAAAATGTATGAAAAATATAGTGTCATCACTATATTAATGGAATAAAATTAAAATTATTATTATTATATTTTCAATATAAATAATATAATATAGTATATATTCATGATTTTTATTATAAATGCATTTACTCTTTCATATCATCCTTTTTTTACTTATTTTTATTAATTTTTCTTATTTTTAAAGTATTTTGTATATTATACTGCAAATTAAAAAATAAAATAATGCATGCATAAATTTTTAATTTTAATTTCTTTTCTATAACTAAAATTTATTTAATTATATATCACTATATTGTTAAATTATAATGAAGTAAAAATCTATAATTCATTATAATTAGTATAAAACAAAAGATGCCATTAATTATTTTTAAAATTTAAATGTTATGACATAAAGGTCTACATATACTATCGTTATTTCCAAATTTATAATTTAAATTATAACAAAATTATTTTTCTATTATTTTTTTTTTTATTATTATTATCAGAATCAAATTATACAATTGTAGAATTAAGCAACAAAATATTATTTTACAATAATAGGCATTTTTAATTGTGCAAATATTATTATTAATTTTTTTTTATTTTATCCTCTCTTTTTTTTTTTTTTAGGATAAATGCGTAATTTGTATTTTTGGAGTTTTTTGTTTGAAAAAAATGAGAGGAAATGCTCAATTATTAATCTTAGATACAGTGTATATATGTAACATTTTATTAATTGATTATATTTTTATAATATTTATACATAACATATTTATGAAATTTTATAATAAAAATTAATATAAAATATCTTTAAAAGAACTTTTTTTCTTTAATTTTTTAATATTTATTATTTTTACTTTTTATATTTTAATTATTTTATTTTTTAAAAAATTAGGAATATTAATTATATCTAAAAATATATATAAATTTATATAAAAAAAGAAGTACTATAAAAACATATTTCTTATTAAAAACATATTTTACATCTTAAATAAAAGTAAATAAACATGAGAGATTATATTAATTCAAATATTATTTTAAATTCTAGATGCAATTCTCATACAGAGGAAAATTTTGTTATTGAAGATATTTCAACTTTAAAAAAATACCGTACAAGAGAGAAAATAAACAAGTTATTTTTTTTTATAAAAATTTCTTTATTTACCCTACTAATTTGGATATTACTTTATTGTGAAAATGTAGATTATAATAAAACTTATAAATTTTTTTATTATTTTTTACCGTTTTTTTTAAATATTTATCGTTTTATTTTTCTTTTAGTACAATTACAGATCATGGAATGATAAATACAACCTAAAAAACAAATTAGATTTAGGAACTAAAAGATCTTTAGCCGAAGGTAAGGAAGTAATAGAACCAACAAATGAAGTATTAAAAGTAAGTTCATCAAATATACAAACAAATTTAGAAGAAAATAATACAAAGGTTGAAAAATTAGAATTAAAAGAGGAAGAAAAGGATAAAAAGGAGATAATAAAAATAGAAAATGAAAATGCATTTTTTTTTTTTTTTTATAATTTTGTAAATACTTTAATAATTTAATTTATATATATATATATATATATATATATATATATATATATATATATATATATATATATATGGATATTAAAATTACCTATATCTTCCTTTTCCATAATTGAAGCAGCACCAATAGCAATTTTAGTTGCACTACCTAAACCTGTTATGATAACTTCATCAAATGGATTTTTTTCTTCATTTCCTGTAAACATTCTTTTTCCTATTCTTGCATAGAAAGTTGGCTTTTTTGTCATAGAAACCTGAATTAACACATAAAAAAAAAGTTATAAAATTTATGTTTTTCTATAAAATGGTATTTATGGATTCTCTTATTTATTTAAATGTAAAGTATATTTATTTAATAAATAGTTTAAAACAATATTTAATGTAAAACAGAAAAGGAAAATAAAAAATAATAAATGGTTAAAACTTTAAAAATAATATGAATTTATTAACTGTGTATAGAAAATAAAATGATTAATCATTAAAACCATATTAAAAAAAAAAAAATAAAATAAATAAAAATAACACATGGTAGAAATTCGTATAATAATAATTAATGAATAAAAATATTTATGGTAAAACTTAATAACAACAAAAATAAAAGTGAAAAACATAGAACAAAAGAAAAAACGTTAAAAATAAATAACTAAATAAGTATATATATGAAAACAATTATTATGGGAAAATATAATAAAATATGTTAAAAAAAAGAAATTTATTTTTTTCATTTGGATTTATAATATTATTTTATAAATGGGATTATTACTTGAATTGAATTTTCAGTTCTTTCTTGTGACACTTCTTCTCCGCTTCCCATTTTTTATAACACAATTAATTATGTATAAATATATATATATATATTATATAAATAAGAAAAAAAAAAAAATAAAATAAAATAAATATTTAATTTTAAATATTAACAAAAATGTTTTTTTAATTAAAAAATATATATATTATAAAATAAATATCTTAATATATAAATGTACAATATATATATATATATATATATATTTATATATATATATATATGAATACATAAAAAAAAAAAAAAAAAAAGTGATTTTTTTATCTAACAAAAAAAATGTTTAAAGTACATTTTACTTTAAATATTTTATTAACAATTTTAAAAT